ACAATTTGAGACTAAATTTCCTGACCATAGCAGAAGTGTCTATGTATAACTAGAAGGAGAAAACCTGTTGCAGCACAGGGATGACAGGAGAAACCCAAAAATATGACCTCAGTGCTTGTGGAAATTTGGGGGTAAATTTAAAAATGCAATACTTTCCTATAAAATCTAAACTTTTTAAGCTATCTGAACAATATAAAATGTATCATTTATTCAGTTATAAAATTGTACTATTTGGCATATTTATGGAATAAAAAGATAAATATCTTAATTTTCTATAAGAAAAATTGCAAATATACCCCATGCTTAAGCTTTGCAAACTGCTGCATACTGTACTAGAACATCACTTGCCATCTGAGAGGTAAGAGAAAATAAGATGAAGGAAGAGAAATTCTGTAGTAAACAAAAGAAAGTAATATTTGGACAGAAACTCTCAGTCACAATAGGGAGAACTTTCGGCATATATGCATATTAAACTAAAATGTATAACAATGGAAAAAATAAATTCTCTGATAATGTATTCCTATTCATTATAGCATATTAACTGTTACCAAAATTATTTACATTTAAACAGATTCTTTAAAATCTTGTAGCTCCAGAGTTCTTTCTCAATGCTCCCCCAAATTTCCAGAGTTTTCTTTGAGAAAAAATTTCATGCTATATATTCTGAGCACGAAAAGCCTTGCCTTAAACATTTTACTCATTCTAAAAGAACATTTCATAGCTTTTTTTCACTGCACCCTAAAGTTTCTCCATTGTAAAAACCGGAAATGTCTCCAAACTGTTTTTCCCTGGGCCTTCACATCTCTTAATTTTCACTCAGACCACAGCCCTCATTTCTGTGCTGGTCTCATGAAGCTTAAGAGCAGCTTTCTGGATAAAGGGGGGTACAGAAAAAAAGAAGCAGAAAAGCTTCAATTAATGAGCAGACCACCACTCAGTTCCTTTGATCCAAGCCAATCACAACCATGACAGCTATCTCCAAATTGGGAGTTGTAAAAGAAACACACAATTACTGTAAAAGGGCATTTATTAAAATTCTAGAGCTGTGAGGCAGTGGAGCAAGTAATTCCCTTTCCCATACAATATTCAGGAAGAACGAAATTAAGAAGGTAACCATCAACATCAATATATATAATTTTCAAAATGACTGAATCTGTGGGTACTTGAATCCAGAGACTGGTACTATGAACAAATGTAGATCTCTGAACTAACAAGAAAAATGTTTTAGGTCTGCAAAAAACCCTCAAATCTTAAAAAAAGTGGAGGAGTTAAACCCCCAAAATAACAGAAACAGAAGCTGTAGCTTTAAGAAACAAACGTTTTCAGGGACTGCTGCAACCACAGCAGTACTGCCAGCCTTCAAATCTTGGTTTCTGTCAGCAAAAGGCATGGGGAGGAGTCAGGGCCCTTTCCAGGGTTGTTTTGGCATCTGAGGGAGAACTCACTGAGGCCAGACAAAACAGCAACCATTGGGCAACGTGCTACCATCTGACTTGGAAGACTCACCCAGACACAACTACTTGTTACTGTTCAACAGCAACCACCTCAATAAAACCAGAATGGTGTAGTGGTTAGAATTTCAGGCTAGGATCTGGGAGACCCAGGTCCAAATACCCACTCTGCCATGGAATCTCACTGGGTAACCCTGGGTCAGTCACATACACTCACCCTAACTTACCTCACAGGGTTCGTGTGAAGATCAAATGGAGAACAGTGATCTAAGCTGCTTTGTGTACCCATCAAGGCCTGGTATAAATGAAGTAAAAAATATAGCTGAATATTGATGGCAGATAAAAGATGGGAGGGAAGGAAAGAAGAAAGCAGGGAAAGGTGAGAATATGGGACTCCCAGGAAGAGAGAAAATAGTGTGGGGAGGGGGATACAAGGGAAAGCAAGGTGCCTCCCACAAGTTCTTGCAGATTCCCCACCATGCAACTGGGCCCAGCCCAGTGACTGGTACCACAAAGAGCTTTTCAAGAGAGGCTGCCAGGGGAAAGAGAGACAAAAAGCTGAAGATGGAGAGGCAGATACAGGTAGGTTGGCTGGTGGGTGGGAAGGTCAGAAGAAAACAGGAAAGGGGACAGGCTACAGGTGAGTCATGAGCTCAGTTCTTTAGGAACCAGGAAAACGGGATATAGGCTATAGGTAAGTCATGAACTCACTTCTTCAGGAAGCTACTCATTATTTTAGTAATCTTTACAACCTTTCAAGGTATGCCAGTATTTACTACCATAATAATTTTTGGTAACTGGTAAATTACCCCTTTGTAGCAATTGTGTGGATTACTAAAGTTAGCTTATACTAGTTCAGTGTTACAGCTTCCAGTTTCTTGATGTAACATGAACACTTCAGACAACAGTGCTACAGCTTTGGTCCAATGGAGAATTTCAATGGATGGAAGGATTTCTGTGCAGAGCATTACTTCTTCCTCCTGCTGCAATCCAGAATGCCATCCCCCTGAGAGTCCCTTGTCCCCCTTGGAGCAGCACTTTGAAGGGAATTTGGGGAAGCAGCAAAAGGAAAGAGGTAAGAAAGCTGTGGACAGAAATCCTTCGATCCACCAAAATGTTGCTTTGAAACCACTAGGATTTACTGTACAAAAGCTGATACTCAAATGGACAAGTGGTAATTGGATTATACTACCTAGTTAGTACTTTCTGGATTTGGGCCAAGCCTTTTTATTATGTATAGATCTATAAAGTATTTAACTAGTCCCATTTAACTGCAATCTTATGAACCTGAGACTTTGTTCAGTGGGAATGTGGGAATGTTCTGAGATAGAGGTGTGGTCTGGCACTACATTAAAAAGACTTATGCTTGTATTTCCTATACCAAGTGCAGTCTGAGTCAGTAACTTTTAACATAGTGGAAGTCATTGATTGTCACCGATTTGAAATTAGGAAAACAAAAAACACAGTGTGCAATTCTAAATGGAAAAGTAAACATTAGCCATAGTTCACTGGATTCAAAGTATTGAAAAGCTAGAGGCTGTGCAAAACAGAGAAGTCCCTACTTGTCTCAGTTTATGACAGGGAAGGGGAGAAGAGGAAGCACAGAACTCACTTAACTTCTAAACCATAACAGTGCATTACATTAAGAGTTTGCCAAACCTAATTCAAGATTAAAAGACTGAAATAACTAGCTTATGGAAGACTCTCACCTGTGACAAAAAGGTCAAATGCAACAGACATGGCTATGTACGCAAAAGGCATTACTTGTAGTGAAACCTGATCAAATCTGTTCTATTTTTATGCACTCTCAAATTCCCTTATCCTTCACACCTCCTACTGCACCTCAGTAACTTATCTATAACATTGCATTAAAAAGGTAGACAATTGTTTCAAATTTTGATAATTTCTAAAAAGCTTTTCTTCTCCCATATCATACAAATTGCATTAGTAAAATACAATTACTAAAACATAGTGTGGATTATAGGGTTGGATCCAATCACCTTTTCTATTGGTGAAAAAGCAAGGAAAGGGTCCCCCTTTGACCATAAAAAAGACTACACTGAAAACCATAGGACCTGCCTGACAAAAGCCATGTGGTATGGGGACTGTAATAAGGAGGGGAACTGAGCCAGACTGAACAAAAAAGGTGGTTGGATCCAATCCAGGAGTGTAAATATTAGCAGATTTTGGAACTTCTTTAAAAATCCTGATTTCAGGTGTTTTAGCTTGTCTACTACAGTCACAAAAATCCTGCATTTCCCCAGTCAAAAATTCCAAACCAGAGTGTCAGTTTTGAGCATAATCTGTCTCAAAGGATATACTCTAGCTTCATCTATTCAATTAAATTGCAATTTAAAAGTGAGCAAATTAACAGAAGATCCTCCATCACATGAGGGACCAGAAAGACAATGTCTTTTGTTCCCTTAGTACGTTTATTATTCCAGGGCTTTTAAAAGGAGGGAGGGGACAGAAGGTACAAACAAAGGATTGCTTCCTTTGTAACCCATGAGGTACCACACTTCATTTTGCCAAGGAATATAAGCATATCCAACTACATTTCCTCATTCTCTTGTTTGGCTTTATTGTATCGCCCTTAATTTTCCTATGAATCTCACAAGTCCCCCCCCCCATTCTCTACCTTATTCCACATAAAGAAAGGCATGATTTAAATTCATTTTTCTGTTAAAAAGAAACATGCAGAACATGCACTAATATATTCAACTCCCTTAAGTCAAAATGCAAAAATAGCAAAGAAAATAAAATTATATATAAGTGAAACAGCTCCTTATTCACCTACATTTTGTTTTCACACAAAGGTCCTAACAATTATAATTCAATCAGCCTCTCTTTCAGATGCTGTCTGCAACTGCTGATAATTCTGCTTTACTCAACACAAAATGCAGCATACTGCATGTGAAAATTACTGTAACAAACAGAATTCAGCTGTTCAAATTTTAAATAATTTGGCCAGCACTACTGAATAATTGCACCAGCACTACTGAGTAATTAAGAGTTTCTGGACAATGGACTGTTATATCCCAAATTTTAAAATTATACCTATAATGTAACATTTACACAAAGAGGAAGGTACCATAAAACATTTAAGCATGTGTTAACTCAACTTCCAAGAGGAATGGTGTTCCCTGTGTAAGGGAATACAAGCCAATAATTATTTACAGGATTCTTTAATATTTGAAATGCCTTTCAATGACAGAAACCGGTATGTTAATCTAAAGCATAGTAGAGCTGTCTGCACTTCCTAAATCTGGCACGTCTATCTGTGAAAGGAAAACCATACAAAAATAGAACAGACTAGAAACATGGTCACTTGCTACAAGTACTCTGCAGTCGATTGCAATCACCTCATCAACATTATACACACTGGACACAGCCTTCAACACAGATTGCTATTAACAAATAAAGATGCATGTTAACGGTTCACAATAGGCCATTTAAATAGCTGAACTACAAACAATTAAGAACCAATGACTGGAAACTGGTAGCAACTTCAAGAATATTTGATCTCACTTTCACAACATGCAGACTGACCTTGAACAAGTCTCCTTACTTTTAAATCAGTGCTGGGGGGAGAGATATCAAACATTTTCTTCTCTGAAGTTCCCACTTTGGCTCTATTTAAGTACTAAGAAGCGAGCTACACAAGGCAACGGACAAAGCTCGCAGCTCTGTATCCAGGTTTACACAATGAAGCCGCAGCCCGATTCACTTTGCGGCCCTGCCCTCTTTACAAATGTCTCCTTTTTCTCCCCTGAATTGAAGGACACCATTGTCCTCTGCCGTTTCTACGCAGCTTATTTCTGTTGCGATAGACCGCGGTGGTGTTCTTACGCCTCTCACTTCAGCATGGCAGAGCCTCCCTCCCCTTGGTACACCGATGGAAACAGCTTTCCAAGTACCGCCGCGCGTTTCCGCTCTTTTTTACAAAGCTCGCGGGCTCCTTTTATATGGAGGTGCTGGAAAAACGCGGTGAAGGCGACGATGGCAGCGAGCGACGAGCGTCCCATTTCTCTCCTTCCCACTGCGGGCCCGCGCCGCTTTGCACAGGCGTGTTCAGGAGATCTTTATTAGGCAGACGGGGGGGAGCTCCATTCCTCACGACGCGGTAGTGGAAAGGTGAGAAGGCAGAAATCGCGGCTTTCAGAGCCGCCCCGAGAACAGATCTAGAGCCAGCCCCCAAGATATCACACGAAATCCTTCTCGTGGCTTTCAGCCAACCCCCACCTTCCGTTCGATCAACGCCCAGGCCCATCCAGGAGAGCCTCGCTTCCCCCCCCTCTCACATCCTTCCCAACCCCCCCAGGCTACTGCCGCAACCAAGCCCCCCCACACACCGCTCCCAGAACACAGCGGAGCTGCCCCCCAGAGGCCCACAGACCCACGCCCGCTCCCCTGTCCGTTATGCCCCAGACCCACCACCAGCCATCATCTCGGACTCCGGGAGAGCGCGATCCCGCCAGCGCAGAGCCCTCCGGCGCCCCAGTCGCTCCTCACAGGACCCCACCACTGCCCCTTCTGCACACATGATCACGCCCTCCCACCCGAGGATCCCGCGCCTCCCCGACACACTCCCTTCGCTCCGCCGACCCCACCACGGCCACACGGGCACGTACCCGGCGGCACATCCCCCCGCCCCTGCGGGAGTGAGAGGAGGCCGCAACCTGAGAGGGGAGGAGGAGCGCCCCCATTAGAAGCGCCCAGGTCCCCGCGTGTCTATGGCAACGCTAAGAGAGAGCGTGTACTGGTCCTTCAGGAGGACACGGCCTCGACCCGCTACCCACCCACCTGTGGGCGAGACGGAGCTGAAGGAGAGTAGGAAGCTTCACTTCGTATGAGGCGGGCAGATAGGCCAAAAGAGAGACGGGAAACACCTCACGCAACGGCGTGCTCAGCCACCGGCTAAATATACCCGGCGCGCAGCCTACCCTCATTGCCTGTCCTCAGCCACTCAGGAGTCGACTGCGTCTCCGCCTCGCAGGCTGATAGGCCACAGTGGAGAAGAGGTTAGCCGATATCCTGAGCGGCAAAGGGATCAGCCATTCACGGCCCAGGGCGCACAAAGCCGGCGAACAGAAGCGACATCCGTTGTGGCCAATAGTTGTTGAGGATAGGCTCATTACGACTGGGAGGCTGGTCTTCGATTCCTGCGGAACCCAATGAGACGACGCTCCTTTCAGTATTAGGCGAAAGGTTCTGCGGAGGCGTGGCTACGTTGCCCGCCAAGGATAGGTGCGCTGCACTGTGGAAAACCCTAGAAATCAAGACCTAGAAACCCCGTGTAAGAAAGGGCGTGAATCCAGAGCACCACCGGACGCAGAGACCAATGGCGAAGAACATAATCCAGTGAGTGACGTGATGACGGCAGAGTGTACTTAAAGGGAAATACCTTCTAAAAAGGGATCCGAACAGTTCTAAGCAGCACCGCCGGGGGGAGGGGGGGTGACATATGCTCTGCCTTCCCCATCCTTTTTCCGCGCAAGTTCGCGCCAGTCTTAAGCCCCTAATACTATCCTCAGTTCCCACAAGACACACCCAAACACCTGCAAACAAACATTTTAGTTTTGTTCAACTGAATAACAAGGTTATATGGTCAACAGTTGTAAAGCAATAAATATGTCAAAATAGCAGATAAATGTTCAAAGGTGTCTTTTCTAATTGTGGGAAGTGACTGAGAATTTTAATTCTCTTCTCTTTCCTCTTAATTCTCTCCTTCAGAGGTAGCATGGTTGTTATTTTGGAGTGTCAGGATGGAGAAACAGGCTAAGATGACAGCAGCACAGCTGCCTGAAACTTTCCCTGTTGGCCATCAGATTGATAGTACTCTTGGCCAGGATTCAGAGGTGCAAACCTATGCCAGGAGGGGCAACTTGGCAGGACGTGGATGGAGCTTCATCTGGAGGCCGAGACTGTGGTGTGCAGCGGAGTCAGAGCTTTAGACATTTTGAGCAGGTCAGATGCCGGTGAGGGTGTGGTCCTACTTGATAATTTATTTGGTTTTGTAGGCAGCAAAGAATCTCCAGTCTTTTGACATCCCAGGGGCCAGCGGAGAGACGGCAAGGAGTGAGGAACAGGGACCGGTTCACATCAGACCAGGGCTCCACTGCTGAGCAGCCAGGAGGAAGCAGAAAAACCAGCATGGAGACCTGTGGGAGGTGATATCCCTGTGCAGCATACTGTAGTTGGAGTTCCCTGCCACAAATGTTGTCAGTCTTTAAGGTGCTCCTGGACTCTTGCTCTTTTCTGCTGCGACGGACAGACTAACACCGTGACCCATCTTGACCCATCCATCTGCCCCCCTGAACCACTTTCAGAATGTGAGGGATTGAAATCTGATACGGCAAAAGGTTTTTTCCTAATATAAATACTATTTTCTTCTCCATTTGCCATTAAGTCAAGAGGCAGGGCCTTTCTCGGAGAGGCTTAGGGCTAGAAGTGGGAGGAGAGAGATTTCGTTTAAAACGGTTAATTACAATTTCTATAACGTCATCCCCAAGATCATCTATGCTTATTTTAATTGCTTTCGAATTGTTAGCATCAGAAGCTTGGAAGAAAAATAGCAATGCAATAAACAGATTAAAATTTCTGAAATTAATGGACAATTTCATTAAGTGATACTTTCCTAAAGCCCCCTTTAAAGCAACCTGTTAAACACCGCCAGAACATGGATGCTTGAGTCCAGGTGGTCAGCTGTGTTGGTTTCATAGAATCATAGAATGTTAGAATTGGAAGGGACCTTGCAGGTCATCTAGCCCAACCCCCTGCACTCTGCAGGAGCATAGCCGAAAGATAGCCCTACAACATACCCGAAAGTTGGTCGTCCAGCCTCTGCTTGAAAACGTCCAGCGAAGGAGCATCCACCACCTCCCGAGGCAGTCTGTTCCACTGCTCTACTGCTCTTACAGTTAGGAAGTTTCTCCTGCTATTTAGCCGGTAACAACTCCCTTGTAATTTTCACCCATTGGATCTAGTCTTGCAATCCAGAGCAAGAGAGAATAGATCCGCTTCATCTTCTACATGACAGCCCTTCAAATATTTGGAGACTGCAATCATGTCCCCTCTAAGCCTTCTCTTTCCCAGGCTATACATACCCAACTCTTTCAGCCTTTCCTCATAAGACTTGAATTCCAACCCTCTCACTATCCTGGTTGCCCTCTTCTGGACACGCTCGAGGTTGTCAACATCCTTCCTAAAATGTGGTGCCCAAAACTGGACACAGTACTCCAGGTGAGGCCTGACCATAGCAGAATAGAGTGGAACTACCACCTCCCGCAATCTGGATGCAATGCTTCTGTTAATGCATCCTAAGATTGCATTAGCTTTCTTCGCAGTCACATTGCACTGTAGGCTCATGTTTAGCTTGTGATCAACCAGAACACCTAGACATGAGCCTGCAGTGTGATGTTTGAAGCAGTAGTGACGCTTAAGTGATTCAGAAAAAGAAATGATAAAAGGTGACCTTGAAAAATCCAACCTTAACTAGGGAGAATCTTAGGTAAACAAAATTGGGTGCATTAAGAGGTGGCATTCAGAGCATTACCACTTTGGGGGGAGTAGAAGCTGCTACTGACTTTAAAAAAAAAAACCCCTAAACAAATAAATAAGAATGGGCCTATTCTAAAATTAAATACTGTACTTCAAATTGAAAGCTCTGATGTCATCATTTAAAAAAAAATTAACTCATAGGTGGGACTGCTGGCCTTACGTTGGCTGCGGCTGCACTTTCATTAGGAAGTCATATGAACGTTGAACCTAATGTAGCTATTGTTATTTTTCATCTTTCATTTCTGGAGTATGAAGCAGGAATATAATGCATTATACCATCTGACACAGTAAGAGAGGTGGGATAGTTTTTAAAAAGCAGCAATAGTATATTTTATAGAAACAAAACCAGTAATCAAAGTCAATGAAAAAAATGTTGGATCAGAAGCAAGCACCCTATAATATGTTAATGCTATAAATAATGTCCAAAGTGTTTAAATATAGAAGATATAAGAATATGAAGGATAATCTATAGAACACAGCAATTACAGTATCAGACTAAGACCTGACAAACCCAGGTTCAAATAACCACTGCTGTGAAGGTCACGGGTTGATCCTGGGTAAGTCATTCTTAGCTAAGCCTACCTCAGAGGGTTGCTGTGAGGATAAAATGGAAGGGATAAGGAGGATTTCCACTTCCATGAGCTCCTTGGAGGAAGGGGTGCAGTAAATAAAACATAAACTAGGTGTGCAGTACCATATGACCAGATGCAACACAACACAAGGCTTCTTCCTGTATTTTAATGGTTACATAGTAAAGGGGCCCATCTTACCTAAAACCAGGGCTTTTTTGGTAGAAAAAGCCCAGCAGGAACTCATTAGCATAACAGGCCACACCCCAACAATGCAGCTCATTAGCATATTAGGCCACACCCCCATGCATTCCCTTGGCTTGCCCGGGTGCACCGTGGCTGCGGCGAGCCCAGGCAAGCCGGCCCTTGGACAGGCTAGGGAAGGCATGGGGAGGCATTTAAATGCCTCCCTGATCCTTCCAGCCCCCCCCGACCCCCCCTCCTCAGAGTCGCCAGGGGGGTTTGCTCTCCAGCCCTTCCCTCTGTAGCCAGGCATGCAGAGGTTTTGGCTGTAGTGGGCATGGCCAACTCTGAAGCCAGCCGGAACTCCGTTCCTCTGTGTTCCTGCCCAAAAATAGCCCTGCCTAAAACCACAGCTAACACAACAAGGTGCACCTGTCAGAATGCCTTCTAAACAATTCCCAGGTATAGTACTCTTGTCTTCCTTCAAACCTAGTTAGTGGACACAGGATAAAGGCAGGTATTACACCCATTACTCTCTGATGGCTTCCAACACACTCCCTCCACCTCCTACGACTAATAGGTGCAGCAGTGTAGGTGCAGCAGTGGTTGCAGGGTGCTTAAAGCCATGAGGGAGCCCACCCCAGACAGGTGTCTGTCAGGTGTAGGAGCAGGGCCAGGGTACTTTAATCCATCAGGGACGCTGCCCAAGCAGGATAACCTTAGCGATGCTGCTGGCCCAGCCTCTCTGATAGCTTCCAACACATTCCCCCTCTCCTACACCTAACAGGTGGTTGCCTGTCAGGTGCAGCAGTGGTTGCAGGGTGCTTAAAGCTACAAG